TGGATGATGTAGTCCTGCCGTGCAGTAGCTGGAAGTGATGACTCTGGAAAAGTCCAGTACATTATGAGTGGAAAAATACCTGATGATTTCTTTCTATCTATTTATCCTTCCATCTGTGGAGGCTGTTAATATACAATAGGGCAGTTTAGCAGCAAAGGGTTCACATGATAAATATATAGGAGTAATCGGATCGGAATGTGGGAACCAAAGTTGTGATACATATTTATATTTTCGCCTTTAATCTTGATGCAATTCTACTGCGTCTTAATTAAAACTGATATATCTTTGCTAATTTTACCATCTAAGAAGTTGAGAGGAGTAATGTTTCTATGGCACAACTATCAAGAGCTGACAAATAATAAGGAGCAATGTCTACTCACAGCTTTTTCTTAAGTGCCTGTTAAGCCAAAATAGTTATGAATCAGTGGTTTAATTGTTTCTTCCACAAAGGAGGTGGAACCTTGTGTGTGCTGCATGTGAGAAAAAAACAACTTCAGACAATGTTTAGACCTGATTCTCATGACATTGTCCAGTTTTTGTATGTGAGAACGGCTTTGGTAGAGTGTGGGCAAAGGAAGAACCCAATATTGCATTACCCTAGTCCAGTTTTCTCTTGTTTTGGGGATTTGGTTGAAGATGCCCTCTAAAAGTGTGCTTCCAAATCACAATATTTGATATTATATATAAAGACACACTGATCAACCGACGAGGGACAGGAATCAGATACTTTTCAGCATCCTCGCTTGGTGACTGGCTGGGCAGCATCACGAATGTCAGATTACGAGCCCATTCTTTTCATGCATGCGCATAGTAGCACAGGAAAATAGTCAGTTGGACATTAGCAAACACACAACACTGTGATCAACAACACTGTGATCAACAACACTGTGATCGGTGTGGTTGTGATCTGTTAGCGAGTTCTTACTGAGGAAGACACAAAATTGGCCAAACTAAATTGGCAGGGTTTGAAAAATGGCGGGTTTGATTCTAGTGTAGGAGTCGCTCTCATGGCTCATGCAGTGATGTCACTCGGTGCCCTTCTGTCTGTTGACATCACATTTTTGGCATGACTCAACTGGCTTTGAACCCCGCCCAAGTAGGTACTGAAAAAGTACCTGGTAGCCCATACTACTGCCAAACGGAAAACCAAGTCAAGTCGAGCAAAACTGAGTAAGTAAAAGTAGAAAAGAAGCTTATATCAGGTAAAGATTGTACAGGAAGTGTGAAGTTCAAATGATTTTATTATGAGAATAAAATTTTGCTTTGAAGAAAACCCTTTAAATGTATATGCTGCCAATTATAGTTTTTAGAATGAAAATCCGAATTGTCAGAAATTGGTTTGTCAGCAGGCTGCAAGGCCATGGGTGCAAAAATGTTTATGTTGGAAAAAATACAGAATTTCATAGTTTGTAGGTGTATAACGGCACAAATTCAAACCATTCAAAGACAAAAGAATTAAATAAAAATCCCCTGATGACTAAATATTACGTAAAGGAGAATGGGCATCTAATACAGATGTTTTTTTAGAGTTTCATTATTTGTGAGCATGTCAAGGCATAAGCGTAAATGCTTTTTTCCTCAGAAGGTGAACAAGATACCCCATGAGGATGTCTCATGTCTGCCAGTTTATTGTGATCAGGAAGACTTGTCTGCAACAACATGCACGTGCTCATCAGGGAGGTTTCCAGTGGAAAAGTACTGTACAACCGGAATAACTACTAGTCTATGGGATATTCAGCTGTCCATGTCTACAACCAAGGATCACTGCTTAAGTGCAGCAAGTTACCAGCAGAAAAGAGAGATCCCTGTAAACATAAATACAGAGCCAGGATGCTGAGAATATATATTTATTTAATAGAGATTCATGACAATAAAAGCGATGACAATACTGAAGAAACAAGACTCCCTTTCTATTAGTAACAAAACCATGCGCAGTGGGGTATGCAGTTTGTAATTTAATGTAATAATACTGGTTATCAGTTAACTACGAAAATTCTAGTCATCTAACGAGCCACAAAAAGATGTACATACTTTCAAACACAAACCCCTGTGCTTATCATTCCACCCAAGGTTTACATTGATTTTGTTTTATTTTATACTGTGGTCTCTTGTGGAAGACTTACGTACCCTTCCTGTTATCTTGAGGGCTATTCAAGACCAAAAAGAGTGTCAGTGAATGGCCTTGTTAGTATGAGAAACAACTGGGCATCAGTGGCCTTGCTTTATAGCTGCATGACCCCACAGGGCATGGTTTTGTGATCAGCTTGCCAGGGCTCGATATTCACACAATCGGAACGTGAAAGAGCAACTGGGAGAAGATGAGAATTGCCAGAAACAGCTGAGAAATGTCAGGGAAAACAAAACAGAAAATGTGGCACTCAATTCCCAGCTCTGCGTCTCTGATCCCGATTGCAGCACAGAAACGCTGATGACCCCATCTATCTTTTGGCCCTTACTGAATGAACGGAAACGACAATCTTGGCTCAGAAATGATACAGCGAGGAAGCCATCTCGATCGCTCACCTAGATCCATCTTAGCCCAAGCTGCGTGAGCGGCGCAGCTCAGCTCAAAGGCCAAGAGGGGAAGGAAAGAGGAAGACACTGTAGCTTAAACACCATGAAGGACGGAGGATATTTTGGCTCAGAAAGCAGGGGAGGAAGAGAGGAGGGTGACAGGGGTGACCTAATGTGAACTCTCGTCACCTCAATGAATCACAAATCATGTTGGAAAACACAATGCTCAATACCTTGTACAGAGAAGCATTCCAGCTGTAAAATTACTTTTATTCTGTTGATGCGAGACACGTCACGTTCAGAAACACGGCTGTTGCCCTTTAGACTGCAAGTAATGCAAGTAAGAGGCACTTAGATCCCATTTAGAGAAGATGCTAAACCTCCTCAATAGTTCAGGAACTCAGAATAACCCTATAATATATATAAGGTTACTTTCCCTGTCAAGATTTTAGAAAAAGTTGCCTTTCTCAAGTTTTTCATAGTTTTTTCATACTTGAATTTTAATATGTTTAAGAGATTTCAGTCTAATTTAAGAAAGATGCAGATTTTGCCCTGTTAAGAGTTTATAATGATATCTTTTTATCTGCTGATTTTGGCTCTTCTGGACTTTGCTGCATTTAGACAATGATCTAAACGAAATATTTTTAAACTGGATTTCCTTATTTGATGGCACCTTTAGATTCCAAACTGCTCGCCATTCCTAACTTCCATTAACTGCGGCATCCGTCAAGGATCCGTTTTAGGTCCTTTTTTACTTAAATTGTACACACTACCTCTCTTGCTCTATTGTTGATAGATACAAAATTCACTACCACTGTTATGCAGGCAAAAAAAAAACAAACACTTCAACAAAATGACTTCACTTTACTTAGATTATTTGATTTGGCATCCCAAGCTCCACAAACATCCAGATAAGATACTTATCTTCCAAACTGCAGTTGAAAATCATGGTGTTTTTATGGAGAGTTATTTGACTTTTATCGATCAAATCAAGGATGCTGTTAGACGAAGCTTTTACCAACTGAGAACCATCAAGTTAAAGCCAGTTTTGCAGCTAAAGGATTTCAGCTGGACTGCTGCAACTTTACCTCAAACCACTCTCTCTCTCTCAGTTGCAGATGATTTAAAATGCAGCTGATCAATGCTTAACCAGTACAATGAAAATAGCACATCACTATCTGTGATATTTCAAATAGATTTTAAAATTTTACTATTTGTTTTTAAAGTCCACAATATATCTGTAATATATTGAAGAAGTTCTTTTAAAAAATCTTTTATCTCCGCATTTTTCCTCTGTGTCACGGAGGTTCTGGCAATTTCTTAAATCAGCTCTAGAGGACGCTCTTTTTGTGCTCTATTATATGCTTTATTACAGCTCACTGTAAATGTTTTCTATTGTATTCTATTGGCTCTTTTGAACACTCATAGATTTTATTTATGTTTTCATTCTTTTCATTCTTGTTTTTCAAATTATTGGGTTCTTGGTGATCTGGAAAACACTCTGGGTCAATATGTCTGTGAAGGTTCTCAGCCATCCAGGTCATCGTAGTCTAAGGAGCTTGGAAAGAAAAGTGTCTGGACTTCTTTAAGTTGCTTGAAGACTCTGGGTCAACTTGTGTTGTTCTTTGTACACTGACCTGACAGTATAGTTTGTACAACATTTGCCTTTTTGTCTTATTACAAAGCGGGAAAACACTGCATGGGGACTTCAACTAAACTAAAGAATGCACGTACACAGAAATACTGAGGCATACATTTGTGTATTTTGTGGACTGAAGTCACTATTAATAGATTTGCATTTTCAGACTATATAAATGAGAAAGTATTATAACTTCTATCACGATACAAGTATTGTTTTGAGACACACTTGGAGAGAATGTGAACCTACTCATTAAGTTTTGCACGAGTGCTGTTAGAGATAATCAGACGCTGACTAAAACAGCGTCTGCCTCAGAAACCAACAACCCACATCTCTTCTGTGTGAATCATTTGGGCATCTACGCATATATGTTATGCAAACATTTGCCCACTAGAGGGAGATATAACATCATTATTCACAGTTACAGCTCACTCCTGCCTCTGACCAGCGGGTGTCACTAAAGTTTTTATTTTTAATCAACAAGTCTCAGAAAGTACATATAACACAGACTCATCTTGCACTCTTATGTTCCATTTTTTTTTCTTTTTAAAAAAAGAAATTAACAACACAAATTGCTCTTTTAGTACAAGAAAGATCATTCCTGTAATTATGTTTAATATTCTAGTAATTAATCAAAAACCAGACTCCAGCACTCTTGACTCTGAACTCCATTTGGTGCACATTATTCCTTCACCTAACCACCAGGGGTCACTCTCTAACAGCAAATCACACAGTATTGCTAAAGCTTCTTAAAGTTGTGACCTGTGAATGGCTTTCTCACACCTGTTCACTGCAGTACTAAACTGGGATGGCTTAGTTTCACACAAGAAAAAAATCAGTGACTTACCGAGCGAAGATGTGGTAGGAACCTTTCTATGTCGTTCATGTCTATACCGTCATCTTCTTCAACCTTGTTTTTGATTATCCTGTAAGAGAGGAACGGGTGAGATCAGGAGGTTGTATGATGCTATAAATTAAGGTGGTATAGAGCAATCAAAGCTGTTCTGAGTTCCACCAGTGAGACAAAATAACTGAACATAAATAAATGTATAGTTTACCCTTCTCTGTCAATGTGTGGCAGGTGCTTTGGCGTTCCTCTGAAGTGTTTTCTGTGAAAATGGCTAAAGTCCAGCTTCTCTGGCTGCACGTCCCAGCCTGCACCTCTACAAGGAGGAGACAAAGTAACAGTTAGAGTCATGGAGAGTCTCTGCATAAGTGCGTATGATTACTTGCATGAAAACTGCTACAAAGTTGCAAAAACCTATTTTAAAAATGATGTGGGACATTTTCTTTTTAACCAAATCCCTTAGAAATGATTTATTTGCCTTTTTATTTTGAAGATATAGAGAGACATTGTGATATTTATTTATTTCTTGTTACATCACCATTCTTTAAAGTTATCCTTCATATTATTTTTGGCTTTTCAAAAGGCCTTAATTATACTTAGGTTTTCACTAAATCCAGATAAAACTTCACAAGCTTCTACTTACAAAAGCAACTGGTGTTCAAGAACCAGTTCCCTTGGGGGGGGGGGGACGTGAGATTTTATATAATGAATGGCTTGCTTTTCTTAATATTTCAGGTTGTCATTGATTAACGTAATGTATGTAATTTCTTAATGCCTGGTGTGTGAATGCAGATATATAAACATGTGAATTGTTTATGCATCTATATCTCTGGCTCTATATGTGTATAAAATGATCTACACATTTCTGCATGTTTTATACTGTATAATTTATAATCTACTTGCAGGGTACCATTGCTAATGAGACCCTTAGTATATTATATATTGTATATCAGATGATATAATAAGAAAAACTA